GGATAGAGAGAAACTCAGTGCTAGAGAACCTGCCAGGGATCCCCAAGGATGACCTCAGCTTGGACAACTAGAAATAGTGGAGAGGGTGCCTGAACTGAACTGGCTTAAGCCAGTGATCAGATCTGTGAATACCCTAACTGTTATCATAGAGCTCCAATGACTGATGGAAGCAGATGCAGAGATCCACAGCTAAACACTAAGGCAGAGCTCCAGGAGTCCAGTCAAAGAGAGAGAAGAGCAAGTGTATCAGGATCATGATGGGGAAACCTGCAGAGACAACCAAACCAAACTAGTGGGAACTCAAAAAAGTTGGATCAACAGCTGTGGAGCCTGCATGGGACTGGACTAGGCCCTCTGTATGCCAAGACAGTTGTATAGCTTGATCTGCTTGGGGGACCCCTGGAGGTAGGATCAGAATCCATCCCTGGTGCATGAGTGGGCTTTTTGGAGCCCACTACCTATGATGGGACACCTCGTGCAGCCTAGAGGCAGGGGGAAGGGCTTGGACTCACTCTATTGGATGTGTCTCCCCATAGGAGGCTTTGCCTTCTTGTGGAGGGGAATGGGTTGGGTTGGGAGGGGGAGGCTAGGAAGGCAGGAGGAGGGGAGAGGGGGATCTTTGGTATATAGGTTGAATGAAAATAATTATAATTAGAATAAAAGTTAATTTAAAAAAAGAATTGGGTTAATATAGGTAAAGTACTCAGGACAACACCTAACATGGCAAGTACCACATAAGAGTAAATATTAACCTTATTTTATAACATTCTTCTTACTCATCATTTTTGATAGCAAGCTATTGACTTAATTGTTTATTAGGAAAAATATTAAAGGTTTGTTTATTTACCCTGAAGCCATATCTAGGCTCTGCAGAGAAGAGTCAGCAGGTAAGCTTATGTACTGTTCTTCCAGAGGACCTTATGGAGATTCCAGCCCTAATTGTAGGACTGCTCACAACTGCCTGTGACTCCAGCTCCATGTCATCCAGTGTTCTCTTCTGGCCTCTACAGAGGCCCACATACATGTGCACACACATACACATACATAAATAAATAATAAAATTGTATATATAGCAAAACTTCAGCCTGTTATTGAAAAGAATTTAAATACAACTCTTCCATAGTAAATTTAATTCATCAAGGAAAAAAGACTTCCATAAACATTCTTTTTTGGAGCCCTTTGCACAAACAAAATAATGAGCTCTGGTTTTTTGTAAATATTATGAGCTATTTCAGTAAATTTTAAATTTGTATTTTAAATAAGACGGAAACTAACTTAATTTCATTATATTAAAAATAAAAGTTTAATGATTTGCATATAAATGTTATTATAAGAAACCATTAACACAGATCCGATCTATTTTTAGCTAATTCAAAAGGTATGTTTTGTGTACATAAAATATTTTCAAGTGGCTTGATACTCTGAACAATAAAGAATTCCTTGTAAACAATTATCTTTAGGAACATACATGAGACATTATCAAAACTTTACTTACATACTTCTGCTGTGGGATGTTCTGTATGTCCTGTGGGAGCCTGTTCTTGGGTTCCTTGTGGCTTTACCCAGCAGGTCCCCATAGAGGATGATTAGGACCCCGGGGCCTGAGTGCAGGTGTCTGGGATGGTCTGCACTTGGCTATGCTGTGGGGTGGTCTGTATGGAAAATGTGTTGCTCTGATTGGTTAGTAAATAAAACACTGATTGGCCCGTGGCTAGGCAGGAAGTATAGGTGGGACTAATAGAGAGGAGAAATAAAAGAACAGGAAGGCAGAAGAAGTCATTGCCAGCTGCCACCCTGACAAGCAGCATGAAAAGATGCTGGTAAGCCATGAACCACGTGGCAAGGTATAGATTTGTGGAAATGGATTAATTAAAGCTATAAGAACAATTAGCAAGAAGCCTGCCACGGCCATACAGTTTGTAAGCAATATAAGTCTCTGTGTTTACTTGGTTGGGTCTGAGCGGCTGTGGGACTGGTGGGCAATAAAGATTTGTCCTGACTGTGAGCAAGGCAGGAAAACTCTAGCTACAAACTTCTAATTTAAATAACAATGTAATACTAAACCAGTTTTCTGAGATTTTAAACATTTAAAACAGTTAAGGTTCTCAATCATTTTAATTATAAATTTCACAAAATTTAAAACAAAATGAATTTCTAGACAGTTTGATATCAAGTAAACTTCAAAGGCAGTTAGTATAGGAACTGAAGATGCCCTAAGTCTAAAATTTGCAACTTATTTTGATGGCTGTGTATAAAAAGGAACATAAAAAATCTCATTTTGAACATTTTGTACTAAGTAAAATAAAAAAAAATTCTTGGATGCATTTGGATATATAAAATATAATATTTAAAGACTTTCACTTTTGGCTTGTTTAATGTGGTTACTAGTATATGTGTGTTTTTATTCACAGTAGTCTGGAAGCATCTGTCTTCTCAGCTTCTCTGGGCAGACTGCCAGTAGAGCCAGGGACATCATAATCTTTTCCTAACTGGGTCTCCATTGTTTTTACTTTCAGTTCAACCTCCACCTATTAGCCAAAGTGATACTACTAATGCCTCCTGTGTCTAAAACCTTTCAACGGCTCTTTCCTGCTTCCCCAGGTTAACATCCCACAGTTTTAAGCCAAATGAGGGCCTTGTCTCTGCTTACCTCTCTAAGCTCAGTCCTCACCAACCCTCCTCTAATGCAGAGTCCCAGCCACACAGCTGCACTGCCTTGCTGCAGGGACTCTGCCCATGCTACTTACTGCTCACTGTGAGGTCAACTTTGAGCCTTGTCTGCTCAGGCTCACAAATCCTTCCAGATCAGCAGGGATAGAGCAGTCCTTTACTCACCTTTACTTGTTTATTAGTATTCCCCCAAAGTTCCTTCAGAGACTTCCCAGTGTCCTTGAGATTACATAAAAGACACCCACTAGGCTGCTTCGGCCCTAATTTAAATTTTTCTCTCTCCTTGTCTTCCTACATTTCTTTCTGTTTCTTTCTTTGTAAAATAAGGCTCATCCATATGAGGACTTTGATAAATGTTACGTGAAATAACACATAACACTCATGAAACGTCAGGTATCTCATTGTGCTTCCCCCCTGACACCTTTAGGAACATTTAATAACATCATAAAAATCATACTTGTGTCGTGTTTAAAGATTTAAACTTTAACCTTTAATGGGCTATATATTTCATTTTGTAGTTTATACTGGATGCTTTAAAGCTCAAAGCTCAGAGTAATAACTTTAAAAATAATGGCTACCACTGTAGTACAAATCCCAATGCTGCATCATCTCACTTGAAATACTTGCAGAGATTTAAAAAAAAAATAGGCTCAATATTTCTTATGACAGTGAGAGAAAACGTTGCTTAAAATTCACAGAAATAGAAAATATTGTAATAAAAATGTTAAAAGAAGTTAATAGTACAATGAATATGCCTGTAGTACTTTAAAAGCTTACTGATTTTTCTATTTCAACATGTTACCTTTCTTTAGCTTAAAATTAACTAGAACTATCTTTGATCTGTTTGAGGTCCAATTTAAATGTTTTAATTAAAAAGAAATAAAATAACTCATTTTGGTTGCATTTCAGTTTAAGGCTTCTGGTATAAATATGATTGTACATGTGATGACTAGTAATGTCTATATCATTTGCTACGCCAGTAAATGCTTCCAGGCTGATGCATTGTCACCACTTTCCAAATGTAAGCATAGAACTGGGAAGTGTTCACTTGTCAGTAACTGTGTGTAACCAAAGGCTGATGTGGAAGGAGGGTGAAGGAGTGCACTGCTCTTTGCTTCTTTAATTACTCCTCACTGGACGTCCCACAATGACAGTAACTTGTAACCAAGGTACCCCAAAGTTATTTTGCTTTAAAATAAAAATTGAATATGCTCGAAGAGTTCATTCTTACTTTAATTTTGTTTATCAGATGTGTTTGAACATCACACACTAGACATGGCAGCTTTCTTTACTTTCATCTTTAAGAAGTGGGTATTATTTTTCCTTAGAGATAGAGCAATCCTGTATGTTGTATTTCAAAGGTAAAATTGTAAAATTTACCATTCTGCTTACAAATAGAGTCAAAAAATTCTTATATAGTTCAAATTACTGTAAGTCATTTGATGAAGTGATATGGAGTTGTGGAAAATAGAAAATAGTCAAGTTTTTTTTGGGGGGGGCGGCGGGGGGCGGCATTGTTTCTCTGTGTAGTTTTGGTGCCTGTCCTGGAACTTGCTCTGTAGACCAGGCTGGCCTCAAACTCACAGAGATCTGCCTTCCTCCACCTCCTGAGTGCTGGCATTAAAGGCGTGCCCCACCACTGCCCGGCTATAGTCAGGATTTTTGGAAGACCATTTTGTTCTACAGATAATATCTTAATTTGTGTTGCCACTGCTGTGATGAAACACCACAACCAAAAGCAACTTGGGGAGGAAAAGGTTTATTCCATTTATCTATACTACGTCACAGTTCCCTGAGGTCAGCCAAGGCAGAAACTCAAACTGGGCAGGAACCTGTATGTAGGAGTTGATGCAAAGGCCATGGAAGAGTGCTGCTGCTCATGACTAATTCAGTCTGTTTTATTATAGCACTCAGGACCAACCACCAGCACAGGGTAAGACCACACATAATGTGCTGGGCCCTCCTTCATCCATCACTTAAGAAACTGCCCTCCAGGCTTGCCCACAGCCCGTAATTATGGAGGCATTTTCTCATTTGAGTGTCCCTCCTCTCAGATGACTATAGCTTGTGTCAAATTGACATGAAAACTAGCTTGTATGCGTCTAATTATTTTCTCTAAGTTCTGCCTCATTTCAGAGAGAAATATATTCATATCTCAGCCAGATTTGATACACACACTGATCCTTCACTATCGCCCACTCCAGTCTCGACATACTGATGAAACTGGTTGACTTAAAAAGTGAAGGCTCAAGGCAGGGATTGGAGCACGAGTCCCGTTAGTGCCATCGTTGGTGCTGAGTAGGCAGTTTAACTCTTTACCATTCATTCGACCAATGCCACGCGGTGAGACTATGGACTTCAGGATCTACGGAAACAGCTTCCTTAAGAGTGGAATAATAGGGTGAGAGAAGCTATGGGTTTGAAGGCAGGTGGCTCACAAGGTTTCTATAACTAACAGTCATCAGCTTTTTACTATCTGGGAACTCCTAAGTCTAGATATTACAAATATATTAAACTATTTTATTATTATAAAATCCTTATGAAACAGATAATGTGATCGTGTTCATTTCCAGAGAAGGAAACAAGGGCATAAGATAATTCAATACCTTATCAAGAAGTAAAAATCCATAAAGTGTTGAGGCTAGACTCACTAAGCAAGCATCACAAGGGTCTGCTTCACTCATGCTTCAAAGGAAAAGACAGTTGGAGGACAGAGAATTTCCTCCATTCATGACCCAAGAAACCACTGTTCACCAGCAACAGAAGAGAAGCCCCTGAAGAGGAAAGAGTATTAGAAAAAGCATCTTAATTAAAATGCATGCAGTAACACCAACACAATGAGCAGCTGATGGTGTTTCTAGAAGCCAAGGATTCCAAAGAAGCTGCTTGAGTGGTCAGAACACAGATAAACTAGTAGTCAGATCAGGTCAGGCATGAAATGGAGGCATTTTCTTCTTCCTAAGAAGGTGCCATCAAGGCTTTAATGCAGGCAAATAGCTTTATGCACATGAGGTTTGGTAATCTGTTGTTCTTTTTTTGTTAGTCTTTTTTTTTTAGCAACATAAAAAACAACATATTTTTGTAATGTTAATTTCTGCTATTAGATTTTTCTGGGTCATATGCTTTAAGATATGATTTTCTAACAGTACGGCTTGGTTTCGTCTTCCAATGATAGGCCTTTGATTGGTGATGAATGCCTGACGTGCAAATTAGTGAGTCTCATAAACCATGTCTGATGTTAACTTCCTCATGTTACACGACATTTCAGCGTATGGCTAGTCTGAAGACTAGCTAAAGCTCCCCAATGAGCAACAACTAAAAGGATATTTAGTCAAGTAATGGAGGTCACACATTTTTGTTTTTCATGTCTTAGAAAGATCTGTCTGTTTTATTTCTTTCCTATACCATCAAATTAAGTTAGCATGTTATTGTTCTGTTCTCTCACTAAGCTCATTTATTTTTTATGAAAAACCAATTCTTGCAAAGTTTATTCATATTACTTTTAAAATGATGTTGCATGAGACTTTCATTGGGAAACATATCTTAAGTTAACCAAAGTGAAAAGAGAATGGGGAAAGAAAAAGTAAACCATGGAGATGTGAGGTTTAGAGCAGTTTTTGTGATCGACTTTCATATTAACTCTATCAATACCCATGAAACTAAGTAAAAATCAGAAACATAATGTTTTTTTCCCTAAGTACAAAATTTGAGTTATGTGACTTCATATGTGGCATATTGAGTAATATCAGTGGCAATCACATCCACATTAAAAATAAACAGAAAAAATAATAGGACTAAATTAACAAAATTAGGTTCCTTACTGTAGCTGGAATAAATAGCTTCTAGGTTCTCAAAGAAGGTAAATTCATGCACATATGATGATATAATTTTAAAGTATTAGTGAGAAATCAATAATGAGGGAAAAAAGGATATAGAGTACACTATCTAGTAGAGGCAAGATTTTAGTTTTCTTATGTACCTATCATTCCTTCCTTCCTTCTGTTAGCAGTTATATATTTATAATGTCACAAAAGACTGTTTCTTGTTAATGAGAAAATTACAGTGGTTATTAATATGTGATAGATTTATTAGCATTCTATTGTGGTAGATGAGAAAATACTCGTAATTGTGGGAAAAAACAATTTTAAAAGAGAAATTCAAAATCTTTTCCTAGTTAATTTTTATTTCTTCAACTGGATATGATCCCTTTTGATTTCTTAATAAATGACAGCATATGTTGTGGGCATGTAGTCCATGTTTGCCAAATAGCATTTTCACTGTCATAACATGCTTTTCAGTCTTGCACATATGACATGATTTCTCTGCTCATTAAATTAGTCAGAAATAACATATTTTTATAGTACCTTTTCATGAGAAATGCCCAAATGTATTGTCTTGAGATTGGTAATATGATTCCTTTCACATGGTGCTAAATGAACTGCGCACAGAAGCTATTTCAAGTTGTTAGATTACAGAATTCTCACATAAAACACATTCTAGATGCTTTACATCTAGAATGCCATCTACAGGTTGCTGTGTTTGAAGGTCTGGTCTGGAGCTGGGGATGCAGTTTTGGGAGGCATGGAACCTTGAAGAGGTGGGGCATGGCTTTTATGGGTTATTGTCAGGCCTATCTCCAACAGAAACTTTATGTTTCTTGAGTGCCCACAGAATGTCATCAGCCATCTCAAGCTCCTGCTGTGATGACCACTTTTACAGCCATCCATGCTTACCTTAATGGACTCTACCCCCTCAACAGAGAGCCAGAATAAATCCTCTCCTCTGTCAGGTATTCTGTTGCTGTGGCAAGAAGAACAACTAATACAGTTATCATTAACTTTTGCTGTGATGAGTTAAGACAGTCAGAGAAGTAATGTCTTGGGTGTGTTTTTGCAGAGGAATGGCAGTTTTAAAGATTGTATGATTAGCTGCCATTGTACATCTACATTCAGTGTTTAATATTTACATCATTAATTGCAGATATTTAGCTTAGAACAAATCCCAAACACAACTGTGTTGAGCATGTATCATTTCTCTGCTTATTTGGACATTTTCTATAAGTGACCTACTTCACTAATTTAAGCCCCAGTCTCCTATTTATAAAGCCTCAAAAACAATACAAAAAATGACTTTAGGTTTAGAGATTTATTATTGTAGGATGATGGTCAAGCAAATTAAAGTTTAACAGTGTTGTGAAAAAAATTAATATTACCAGTTTTTGATTTGTATAACTTAAAGCAAGCTACACTATTAAACTATTTTAAGTATGTGCAAACAAATATAATAACCCCATCCATATTGTAAAGGAGATATCTGCATTGCATCGCATTGAAGTCTGGCCATGGAGTGAGGCTTAATGTGCTCTGTTCAGTTCCTCATGAAGACTATTTCACACAATAGCAACTTAGTGCTGTGCATTCCCGGGAGCCCAAAGCCTCTCAGAGATGCAGTCTTTAAAGGTACAATTTATTAAGCCAATTCAGGAAAACAGAATCATTGTGTCATTAGCATCTCCATATTCTGTGTTGGTTAGAATGAAGAAGCTGAGAACCCACATAGGTTAAACATTATCCTCCCTATGCCATCTGCATTCATGTGAAGTGAGAACCTGGAGAAACCACTGCAGATTGGCATCTCCATGTTCTGAATAGTTTGCTTTGTATACTGAACATTTATCATGTCAGAATTATTCAATCCAGACATAGTAGTATACATTTAGAATCTCCCTCTGAAGTGAGGCCTGTTAGAGCTACATAATAGGAATGTTTTGAAGACAAACAACGAAAGTAATTATTGTATGTCTGTGTGTTTATACGTTTACAATATTCTCCTGAAGCAAGCTAAAGCTATAGGTTCTAATAGACAGCAAGCAGGATCAATGTAGCCTCTGAAGGCACATCCCATGGCTACCACTACCCAAGGTTAGTCCTGACAAGATCTGCAACAGCTGGTATCCAGGATTCAGAAAAGAGGAAAGTGGGGACTTCTCAGGTAAGATTTCTACTAGGAAGTTCATTAGTGACAGACAGAGATAAGAAGTGTCATGGAACATCCAGGAATGGGTTAGAAGGGGGAATAATTACCCAAAGATAATTCATATGGCAAGGATATGTATTCAGAGGGAGTATCGTTAAGGAATGTAACATCCAAAGTCTGAACTGAGTTTTGAACAGGGTCCAATAGGGCAAGCAAGATTGACTGAGGCTGGGTTCTCAGAAATAGTGATTAATGTTCTTATGGCCTCATCTCAAAGGCTTTGGTAAGCTGAACGAAGCCAGGCAACCAAGCTTCTGATAGTTCATCAGTGAAGAATGTAATTTTAAGACACTTTGTTCTTTGAAGGCCTCATGGCAGATGGTCAACAACTTCATCAGTTGTTCCTATCATTAGAGTTTTTCTTCCTTCAGCTGGTTGTCAGTTCTATGGTACCCCATGGGCCAGATACCAACCCTCACAAATCAAAAGTAAAATAGTTTAATTAGTTTCAGACGAACATCACAATGGATAGCAGTGTTCCATAAACTTCAAGGATTTCAAAGTTTCCAGAACCTAAATGATTGTCATTCTGAAATTTTGACCAAGGAAGTAGTTGTACTTTCAGAGCTTCACACTACCTGTATGCCGGTCTAGTTCCTGTGTGTGGGCAGAAGCTCCCTCCACATGGTCACCAATGAGTGCCGTGTACTGTGCCAACTACAGTACCTCTAGAGATTTCCTCTGGAGGCACAGGGTCCACAGGTGTGATCACCACAGAACTCACAGTGCTCTGCTTGCCCTGGTGGGCATCCCTGTTAAAACCTAAAGAAGTGTTTGAAGGAGAGCCAGTGCGGTGAGTCACATGGCCGTCTGCCAGAGCTCTGTGCTGCTCTACTGACTCACTACCACATTCTCTCACCATCCAGCCCGCAACAGCAGCTTTGTTACATGGTACTGTTCTGCTACCAAATGGAAGAATACCATATGGACTCCTTAACTCTTAAAAGCTTTAAAAGAAGTTGTTGTTGTTGTTGTTTTAAATAAAAATCCTTCTTTTCACATGTTAAAAAATACAGTTTAGTTAACTCACCGAAGGTCGCATAACTTGGAAGTGATAGGCACACTTGAAATCTGACTACATTTCCTTCATATCTGTGTCATCATAGTGCTTTGATCCAGGTCATGCTTTCCACCTTTACATGCTTTGGAACAAGCATTGCCCCGGTGAAAATGTCTGTTTTGGCTGTGATTTCTTCCATTGCTTTCAGAAACATATTTTGGTAAATTAAGCAAATTACTAAATTATCAAACTATACAGAAAATTCCAGGCAGGCTGCTATTTCAATGGTCCCCACAGATGGAATATTGAAAACTCTCCACTTCTCCTCCCTGGTGGGTTGTCTCTACAGAAGGATCATGCACTCCCTGCACTCCTGAGATCACAACGGGCCACGTGACCTGCCACTAGTGTCCATCATTTTGAAACAGAGCTTTGAAGATCCTTTTCCTGTGCTTCAAGACCATGGTGAGCACACAGGAATGGCTGAAACTATGAACAAAAGACACAGAAGAGACTGACATGGACGGAAAAAGATATGGCCCAAGCTGGCCATAAAAGATATGGGTGATAATTGGAATTTGTTTTGGTAAGACACCAAGACTGGGCTTGATTTAGATCAGGCATAGTTTAGACTAGCCCAGTTGCTAAGAGAGCCATCATGGAGTGGCACAGGCTCTGGGGCAAAAGTCAGCTGCTGTCCCCACTTCATTGCACACAGACAGTACAGGACCAGAGGCTATCACTCTATGAAAATATGGGTGGCTATTAATTTGGTGCAATCTTGTATAATATTAGAGGGACCAGCCTTAATATTATACATCCCAGGGGCTCAGGAGAGAGAACTACTAACGGCAAGAACTATTATCAGGAAATAGAATCTCAGCACACCGAGCTCTATAGTCCACTTGCTTTAATTCCTCTGGCATAACATCCTTTATACACAGCTTCAGTTCTGTTCTCATGTCTAGCTCCTTTCTTGCCTGATTTCTCTCTGTATTTATCTACTGTCCCCTCTAGGTTCTATCTTAATTCCTTCATCTAGTTCTGATGCCTCTAGTTTCTCCTCTATCTAGTTCTTTCCCCTATCAGCTCCTCTCTCGTCTCCTCTCTCATCTGGCTCTTCCTCATCTTCCATCTCGTTCCTTTAGTCCTCTCTTTTAGCCCTTCAATCTAGTTCTTCCCCATCTCAGTTCGTTCCTCTCAAGTTCTTAACCATCTAGTTCTTCCATTCTCTTTTCTCTTCTCCTCTGCCTCCTGGAAGTCTCGGTATATAAAGGGAGGATCCGAGCTAAATTGTGTAAAGCTATTACTTAACGTCCACCTCTCCTAGGCGGTGTCTCCTTGTGGAATTTACCATAAGTCAGGAGACTTGCACATGGGCTGTTATCATTGTTAGTCCACCTGGGACTAACAATGGGCGCCCACCTGGGTGGTGTTTCCTGTAGTCCTTGAAAGTGGCCAAGAGAGATAGATAATCTGATTCCAGAGAAAGCCTTTCCTGAGGCTGTTCTCCAAATACCTGGAATGTGTATGTCCAGAGAGTGATCAGTCTACACTGTTAGCCCTTCTTAGGGAAAAGTCAATTGGGAAAGCTATGAAGGCACACAATATTTTCATAACAGAATACAGCTGATATATAACAAGCCAAGTAATACCAAAAACTCCTTGGGATTTGGCTTCCTCTGGAGGAATTCCCTGATCCCTCCAGGTAGTGACTTTGCCATAACCAGCTGAGTTCTTATGATATATTCCTGCGGCCCGCAGCAGTGCAATTCCTAGAAAAATAGTCAAAGTAAATGTCTGAGAAACAGTGATGCAGGAAATGTCAAAGATGCTTTATTCAATATGTTTCCATGAGTCTAAGCTACTTCAATCACTAGTTTGTGTTTTCTACATTTGTTTTCTGGTTAAGGCCGGCACAGTTAGCTTTTTAGTGATGTTGACCGATCTTTGAAAGTTTCATGTCAGAAATATTAATGGCCATGAAACATATATTAGCTAGATATATAACCCCAGACATAATAACGACTAGCTTTGAACTTTGAAAACATAGGTGTCAGGTGGCTGGAGCAAGAGCACTAGCTGTGCAAACATGACAATCAAGTTCAGATACTAACACCCATGCAAAAAGCTGTAGCCACACGCACCTGTAACCACAAAGCTCTAAGGGTGGAGGCGGGAGGATCACTGAGACTTGCTGGCTGCCTTTCAGTTACAGGTTCACTGAGAAACCCTGTCTTAATAAAGTATGGTGGAGAGAGATTAAAGAGGGATAATTGACATCTTGCTCTGGCCTCTTCAAAGTGAATACCTGACTCACAGGTATACATACATGACAGACCACACACATACACACACACACACACACACACACACACACAC